TTTAAATTTTCAAACCAGAGATTATAAATTCATTTAAAATAAGGAAGGAAGGAACTGAGAAAGACTTATTTTGGAGGTTAGGAAAATAAGGCTTAGCAGAGAGTATTACCTGACTCACCCAGCAAGTTAGTGACAGAGATAGGGTTCCAACCCAGAGACCCTAATATTCAGTGTCTCTGTAACACTTGCTTCATAGTATTTGAAGAGCTATATCCTGAATTCTGTAATTCAGTTGGATTCAAATGCATATGAGACCCTGCCCCTGTTGCCTCCGCCAATTGTACTGTACACCTGGCAATTGATCACTGTGCTTTATTCATGTTTACATAAATGGAGGCATCTAGGGTAGCCTCCTTTTTAGGTAGATGGTAAAGCTAAGGACCAGTGTCCCAGGTAAGTTCCCTGAAAGCAAACTTTGAGTCTTGTGTGAGACTTGTGGAGTTTTGTGTGCAAGAATTTTATGGGGTAGCTGTCAGGATCAACACCTGCAGGGAAGTAAAGAGGATTGGGTAGAAGGAGAAGTTAATAATCCATGCAGTTCCAAAGGCTGAGCTAATCCTACAGGGAACCTGAGGCTGGGATGGCCCTGCAGAGCTGTCCAAATTGGTCAAGGGGGCCAGGCCTTTGTACGCTCACAGTGACAAACCAGTCATTGAATGCAGGCCATCTCACAGAACATGAAGAGACTTTGGGCGAGATGGGTCTTTTAGCCAAAGACAAAATCCAGGGGCGTTTTCAGCTGAGAGCTAGAGCTGTCAGTTTCCAATGTTCCCAATAGCTGAAGGGCATCTGGATGGTGTGCCACATGAGCCATTGTATTCAGAGAAGTTAAATGGCTTAAGTTAGTCAAATGCCAAGTTAGTGGCAGACTTGAGCTGGGATTCAGGAGTCCCAGTCCATAGCTCTATTCATTTCCCAAGTGGCCAGGAGAAGGTTTCATGCTGTATTTGAGGAGAATTGACCCAGTACATCCAGGAGCACCTCTTCTCATTGAGAAGCTACAGGGGTCAGGGAAAGGAAGCCAAGGTAATGACAACAATGTTGGCATTTCTTGGCTTGTTCTCCAGCTGTCTAGTGACAGGCACCTTTCTTGGCACATACAAGGAATGAATGAGAGATTTGGAGTGTGACTCTAAACCCATGCAGTCAGATCTCTGTTTGAACATCTAAAAAGTCTCTTGGTGAGAGTATGTGCTGGCATCTCCTGAAGCATTGTACTAATGGAAAATAGAATTTAGGTGAGGAGACAGGAAGCAAATGGCAGCAGTGGAGTGAAATACTGTTTTTTTCTAGTCCCTATATTTTCATCTCAAAAAAGCTCTCCCATAGATCACCTGGTCATAAAAAGAAGAAAAAAAGAAACTGCCAAATCTGAAGCATTAATGGTGTGAGCTGATTAAACTCTTTGCTTCAAAGAAGAGCTTTAAAAAACACATTTAAGCTTCCATAATCTCTTAAGAAGAGAAAATTTGTTTGGAGCTAAAAGAAAGCTTTTAGATATTCACCCTCCCATCTCACTCTTGACTCTAATTTTTCTTTGTCTCTTTAGTTGGATTCTTTTATTTGCTATAACATTTAAAAAATATATAAAAATATAACCTTACATTTAGAAGAAGCCATCTTGATTTTTGAGCCATTTCCATTTCTGCATTCCACTGGTAGAGACCGTGGTCTAAATGACTTGGGAATTCATGGAGCATCCATACTCTTTAAGTTGGAAACTGTTCCATGGGTCTTGATGGGACAAATTTAAGAGACTTGTTTCTTCCTTGCAATATAAAATTCATTCAAATTTCAGTGTCTGTAATAAAGTTAGTGGACATAGGCCTGCTCTTTTGTTTACATGTTGCTTATGGCTGCTTTCACTCTACAATGGCAGACTAGAATATTTATGATGGAGACCAGACGGCTTGAAAAACCTAAAATATTTCCTTTCTGGCCTTTTACAGAAAAAAAGGTTTGCTGATCCCTGGTCTAGTGGATGGGGCTTAGGGTATGGAGTCCAACAGGCTTGTATTCAAATTCTGACTCTTCAACTTCTAAAAGGGTGACCTTGAGCAAATTTCTTAAACTGTCTATATGTCAGTGTGCTCACTTGAAAAATAGTAATAACAGCATTTCACACTCTTGTGAAGATTGAAGGATATACTGTACTATAAAGCTCCTGGGGATAGTAAGTGCTGAAATAAAATTATTTATTAAAATTGTTAATGACAATTTCAACCAATTTGTGCTATAAATAACATTTGTGATCAAATAAATATGATGACATTGTGAACTGCCATATTCACTGCCAGAATGACTGCTTTGGGACTTATCAGTTTAAAAAGTATTTTCTATAATAGATTAATGAGGAAAGAGAAAGTTGTATTTGTGAGTGAGAATAGAAAAAACTGTGAGGGAACAGAGACAAGCTATTGCCAGAACTCCTCAAAATAATATAATAAATTACAGCTAAAATTGATTGGGTGCCTGCTATGGCATCTTGCTACATACTTCATATGCACCATCTCATCTGATCATCATTTCAGATCTATGAGGTAGCAATGTTGTCACCCAATTTTACAGATGAGGAGACTGAGGCTTGGAGAAGTTAAGCAGTTTAATCCAAGTCACATAGCCAGTAGGAGGTAGAGCCATGAGTTGAACCTGGAAGGGTCTGATGTCAAAGTTTCTGTCTTAACCACTGTGCTTTTGTAAACATCTTCTGATAAGGGCCCCCTAGTTTCAGGGCCCACAACTGTTCCTGGTGGCTGGCACGTTAGAGCATCACTCTGAGTTGAGCTCTGCAGATATGTCAAATTAGGAAAATGTGATTGCAACTACCTACATCCACTCTTCAGTCAGTTGCTCAAAGGCTTCCCATGACATCTACAACCAAGATTACTCCTTGAGAGTTGTCATATTAGGGGTGGTCCTGCAGGTAATATCTGTTACTTAGGTATGAAGGTATGGATATGGCTGTGCTGGGAATGAACAAATGGGAATGTTGTTTGGCTGTGTGACTGGGATAAAATGTGATTAATAACTAAAATCTGTTTGGTCTTCAAGTATTATTTATTGACAGGAGAGTATGCTCACAAACTCTTTTACCAAATACCAAACCCATATACAATAGTCTTAGTTTGCTAATAACATGTGTATATGTATGCATTTTAAAAAGGATGGGGAATGAACATAACAGGATATTTAGTAGTTGTCTGCCTTTAGGTTGAGAGAGTAATGGTGAATATTATTATTATTATTTATCTATACTTCTGTTTCCAGAATTCTAAAACAATGTTTATTTAATTGAGCATGAATAAGAAACTATATATTATAAATGATAAGAAACCATGTAGAAAAAACTTAAAAGTCTTGAAATTTTTTAATGTTATTATTTCACTTTTGCACACTATCATACATGGATCAAATGTTATATGCACAGATATATGTTCATTTTAGTATTATTGAAATAGAGAAAAAATAGAAAGAATGTTCTGCATGACACAACTACTTCAAAGCATATTTAGCTATGAAAGAAATGTTGTTACAAATGGAAAATGCTTATGTTATAATATTGTGAATAAAGCTGAATACAAAATTGAGCATACAGAATGAGCGCAGTTCAGTGAAAACTCAACAATCTATTCATTAAAAGACAAAGCAAACATATTCAAGTCATAACTGTTGTGTATATAATTGGTAAGCTTATACATTTTTCTGCTTCTTTGCAATTTTGAAGTTCCTTTAATGAATGAATATTATTTGTATAATGGAAATAATTAGGCAATAAAAAACTGTTGAAATTGGAAATCTGTTGCCTGGTGATTAGTCTTTGAAATGTCCCCTTCCTCCACAGCTTCCAGTTTTAACCTTCAACTCTGTTGCCTCCCATGGTTCGCTGGATATTTCCCAGGTCAGTCACAAGAAGCTTAATGATAATGCAGAGAACACCAAACTGGAAAGCAGGACATGTGGATTCTAGCCAGGACCATGCCACTAACCCACTGCATACTCTTGGGTGAGTCCCTTTTTCTTCCAGAGCCTCAGGTTTTTAATCTATAAATGAGGAGAACTTTAGGTTAGATCTCCTGGGATTGGGCCGAAAGATAGACAGAGATCTCAGTGATAGTATGTGCTGTCTACAACCTTGACCCCTCCTCTCCAACCCAATTCAACATAGTTTTACTGTTATAATTTCCTTATGGAGTATACTGGAAAGTTTTGAGTGGAGAATGATTCCAATATTGAAGTTTCAAAATCACTGGATTGGACCATTAGCTTGTCAATGTCTAGTTATTAATTGACTATGGAGTGTAGCTGCTGTTTATATCTCTTTTTTAAAAATTTTTGTTATTGTGGTAAAAACCATAACATGAACTGTACATTCTTAACACTATTTTAAGTGTACAGTACAGTATTGTTAACTTTGTGCGTATTGCTCTACAGATCTCTAAAACTTTGTCATCTTGCATGACTGAAACTCTCTCCCTACACCCCGGCAACCACCATTCTTCTTTCTGTTCTAAGAGTTTGACTACTTTAGAAACCTCACAGAAGTATAATCATTCAGAATCTATCCTTCTGTGACTGCCTTATTTTACTTAGCATAATGTCCTCAAGGTTCATTCATGTTGTAGTATATGAGAATATTTCCTCTTTTAAAAATGTTGATTTTAAAGAAAGGAAGGGAGAGGGAGAGAGATAGAAACATCAATGATGAGAGAGAATCATTGATCGTCTGCCTCCTGCATGCCCCCTACTG